ATGTTTTGTTTTAACTTAGTATCGAAGCATACCTCTCTTGTAGATTTTGTACCTCTTGATAATAATCCATATCTGTCACAGTATTGTCAGTTTGAAAAGATCTAGAATCACCTAAGAGACATCTCCCTGGGAATGCTTGTAAAGAATGTTCTAGGTGACCCTATGTGGGGAGAACCAGTTTAACTGTGAAAGACACAGTCCATGGGCTGGAGTCCTGGAGTGAATGAAGAAGACATTAACATTCACTGCTCTCCATTTTTATGGATGCAGTGTGACCAGATACTTCAGGTCTTGCCACCATAACTCCCCATTCATGTGACCATGGCCAGGGAAGATACTTGGGGACAGCAGGCTAAGAAATCTAATGGATGCTCTCCAGTAGGTATCCAGGAGATATAACAATGTTAAAGAGAGAATAGAAGAGACTGTTTCTTCCCTAATCATATCTAAACCCTACTTAAAACAAGGTCTTTCCAAGTAGACTAACCTATAACTTTCAGGTCACCCTAACAAATTCAAACAAAAGTCTCTCCATAGGCCTGAGAGTTGAGGCAGACTAGCATGAGGAATAGTTCAACAGCATGGGACTGTTCTGTGCATACGCCTCTCTAATAAATGCACTTGGGAGTCTAAAACCTCATTTGCATATGCTAGTGACAACCTGGGTCTCTGGTGCAACTTATGCTTGCTTTTCTTCAAAGATTCATGAGATGACTTTTCCGGGACCTCCTTGCCAGGATTTTGCCCCTGATTCACATCTCTAAAAGTTCACATAGTTTAAAAGCAATTCAATATGAATTGGCACCCCTCTCTTGTCTTCAGGTTGTGATCTGGAATGCGGTTGAATAGAAACTGGGTACCCTAACTTCCCTATCACAAAGACTGCATGTTCAAGATGTAAACCAAAATAAAGGCTTTCTCCCTAAAATTGGTTTTGTCAGACAGTTTGTTGCCCCAAGGCACACAACCAGTGCAGCACATGCTACTAGTTTGCTTGCACAGGATGTCTTACTAGAGGGTTAAAACCCAAGAGAGTACACCTAAACCAACAAGCACTAACTTAGTCAATTTATTTCTTCCCACTTTGATCTCTGAGGGTCTGCTTCCCTGCAGATTTTCTCTATTCTTTGTGGGGTTCATCAGCCAGGTCTGTAATCTTTTCCTTCTGATAGGAGACTGAGAAACCACAGTCAGATGATCTAGTTACTTGACTTGTGGTCTGGAAGTTGGGTTGGTGAAGATTTGAGGGTGGGACATATATCTTAACTGACACTGAAAAGCCTGTCCCATGTCCTCAAGCAAAGTCTTGTCTACTAGTATAAGGGAATAATTCTCTCCTGAATTCTTTGGGGACTCAGAAAACTCTATGGATCATGATGTTGAAGGTCATTAAGAAAAGATGAAAAATTGTGGGAGCCTGTGTAAGAAAGCTGTGAGCATACTATGAGCTCTGGATGGTGCAGAATACAGAATGATTTTTCCGTATGGTTGCCTTCTGGAAAGAGTTGTACAAACTGTTAAGTGGATGCATGTGAAAGGAAGACCATGAAGGGAACACCATGGGTGACATGTTCACACCATTTATGTGGGAAAGGCAAAAGAATATAACTGTAAACCTACTCAACACAGGGTACTTCCAAGAAGACTGACCTCTAAACTTCACGTACCCTTGACATGTTAGAGAAAAGTCACCTTGTGTTTTGATTGCTTTAATAATAAAAATGAGAAGTATTTTGTTTGCTCTGTTCCTGAACCAAAATGTGTAGCATTCCCCCAGTGTCCCCACACTGATCTTTGACACTTTCTTCAGTCTACTTAGCTTCACTGGACAGGGCAGGTCAACAATAGAGGCTCCCATCATGGTCTTCCCAGCTTTGGTCTCATTCTCATCTTTCCTCAGATTCATTTTTTATATCCATTGATGATCTGCCCATTGTGTTAGTAATTCCCATGAGTGATTCTTACCTTTCCTCACTTTCCCATTTAATGAGATAATGAGCTTTTTCATTCAACATCATGGCAGCCCTCACCTTTGGGGAATTTAGTCTCATCTCTGACTATACAGTTGTGGCCCTTCCACTTATTGTTCTAAAGGACAAATGAAAATGTTGCCAGTGGTTCCCTAAGTTCCCTGTCCTTATTGTTTGTCTTCTACCCATATTTCTCTAATGCCCATGCATCTCTCTGATACTTTCTTGTCTCCACTGGATCACCAATCCAGCAAAGGGTTGTCTGTCCTTTAAATACAACTATACTCTTACTCTCTAGCTCGACAATATTTCCCTCCCTAACACAGTGATGGAGTTTTCATTAGCCCATGGGAAACAGGTGTTTCAGGCCCCAAATCTCTTAGCATCTGCTTTCTTGGCCCAGTCTTGTTGGTTATTGTTCAGGTTTGATTCCCTGCAAAATGTCCTTTAAGGTGCATTGGCTTGCAGAACTATCTCATGGAGGAGAAAGAAAATGAGAAATTGACTGGGGATATATTCTCAGTGAAGTATTTGGTTGTCTCAATAGGAGACTCTGTAACCAGAAGTCTGCTTACAATCATTAAATACTGAGATCCCTAGGAAAGAAAATAGATTAAATTGTGCATACTGTGGGACCCTGAAAGGTAGCTTGGTTTCCAGTTAAGCTAAGGCTTCAAACCTTGGAAACCCTGAAAGGCCAGTAGTCATTTTGTCTGTTCCCAGGTCACTGGCTGCAGCACCCCCATAGATTTGTGGTTATCAGTCACGGATGTGCAACACCCCAAGTCCCTCCACATGTAAAGGATGTGACCTCTGGTCAAGTAGACTCAAGACAGATCTCCATTCTAATGAGGTACCTAAAAGCCTGGAGAACTTAGACAATAAGCTTTCCTTCCCAGACATTCTTCCCTGCAAAAGGTCTTTAGCCTCAGGCCCTCACTGAGAAGTCGGTATGATTTTACTCATCCACTTTCTGCCATGACAGTAAATGTCTTTAGTCCATGGAAATCCGCCATGGGCAGCCATGGAGAAGACCTTTGCCTTTAGAGTCACCTTCTAATCTTCAAAGGCCTTTCTGCACTCTCATCAATGGCTACCACCTAGTCCAAGCTCAAACCCATCAACAAGACAAGAACTCCACTCGCAGGACCAGTTGGAGCACCCCCTTTCCCTCACCTCCTTCGCCCCCACCCCTACCTCTGGACACATCTAGCCTGTGGCCCCCACTCCATTCTAAGCTTTACCATGGCTTCCAGTACCATCTGCCTGTCTGAGAGCCTGAGAACCAGACAGCCCTGACCTCCTTACAGGCCTGGGCACTCCCAAGCCAGCTCTAGCCATACCTCTCCACTTCCACACCCCCGGAGTATTGTCCTGGAGCTGCCCTATGGCCCAATACCAATCGATGACAGAAAGGAGTAAGTATGGTCAACTTCCTGTGCCCTGCCTCTCCTAGTGGCTGAGCCCTGTGGTGGAGTGGATGAGGGACCCATACCCTACAACATACCTTTTGCATATAGATATTTACTACTGTTTTCAGTTTGGTTTTTTTTTATTATTATTTTATGTTTGGGGAAGCTGTTAAAATGAGATTGTCTCTTAAATTTTATTTCCAATTGCTCGTTGTTAATACATAGAAAGATGTTTGAGTTCTTTTGAAATGTTGTCCAGTGACTTTGATATGATATAATGCGTACTGTAGCAATTAAAAACTGTATTGGTTCTTGTACTAGTCAGGGTGCTCTAGAGTCATGTGAACTTATGGATAGTCTCTATATAGTAAGGGAATGTGTTATGATGACTTCCAGTCTGTAGTCCAACTCCCCAACAATGGTCAGATGTGAATGGGAAGTCCAAGGATCTAGTAGTTGCTCAGTCCCACAAGGCTAGTAGATTTCAACAAATGTGCTGGCAAGGAAATGCAGGCAGGCAAACAACAGTAATTATTCCTTCTTCCAATGTCCTTATGTAGGTCTCCAGCAAAAAGTGTGGGCCAGATTAAAGGTGTGCACCACCACACCTTGATCTGGAAGTTGTTTTTTCCCAGGCTGACTTTGAACTCACAGATCTTCATGCCTTAGTCTCCTTGGATCCATAGCCACTATGCCTCAAGATCTCCATGTTAAGATCAGGGTCAGAAACTTGTATCTCCCAGCCTCAAGATCTTGATCACAGGTGAGTCTTCGAATTCTGGATTGTATTTCATTTCACATATAGTCATGTTGACAACCAGGAATAGCCATTAACTTTTTCAAGTATATTATTATATTAGCTACAATAGAATGATTTATTTTAACCTTACCCAACTTTCAAATTTAATAAGCCTTTTAGTTGCCTGATTTTCTTGCTGGATCTCTGACACTAGAAGTTGTTGAAGTGATTAAGGAAGTTCATTCTTATCTTATTCTAAAACTAGGAACAGGCTTTCTCTAACTAGAACTATGATGTAAATTCAAACTTTAGAGTTTTGCTCTTTCTTTTGCTGTTTATTTCATGTCAAAGCTTGGTTATATTTGGGAAAGTTACTCCTAGTTTCCTAAATTTTACTATGACAGGGTATTAAGTGTTCATCAAATGCTTTGCTTTGTCAATTGAAAACTTTGTTTTCCCTCACATCTATTTTGAAAATGGTTATAAATCTTTAATACAAGTTTCTCATATCACTCTATGCTCTCTATATTATATTTTCCAAACTTTATTTTCTTTGAGGTTGAAATTTGCCTGGTTTATCTTTGGAAAAAGAGAAGAAATTGGGTACATGGTCTTGTGTTCTGCACACTGTGTGCTGAAGAATACATGGTGATAAACTGTGACTTAGTAGTGTGGCAGTCAGCAAAGGAGACAAAGAAATCTAGACATAAGCATTATAGAGAGGCAGGACTGCAGTCACACTGTTGTTACTGTGTTTGTGTGAGAGGAGTTGCACACTGCCTACAGTTCTTCTGAATAACAGATGTCTTAGTAACCTTCAAATTGCTATGACAAAACTCAGTTACCAAGGTAACTGTAAAAGCATTTAATTTGGCTCCTGGTTCCAGAAGGTTAGAGTCCATGACCACTGTGGTGAGGAGAATAGCAGAAGGCAAGCAGACATGACCTTGAGCAGTAGCAGTGAGCTCACAGCTCAATCCACAAGAACAAGGCAGACTGAACTACCTGGGAATGGCATGGGCTTTTGAAAACTCAAACCCACCCTCAGTGAGTCACTTCCTCCAACAAGACCACACCTTCCCATGTTTCTGAAACAGTTCTTCAAAGGGTTGATCAAGTATTCAAATATATGAGGCCCTGGGGGCCATTCTCGTTCAAACCAACAGGTTAGTAGCTAGAGACAAGCAACTGCAGAGTAGCTACAAGCTACCATCTGGAAAGCCATTCAGCACACTTTCCACCTGGACCTTGCTGGCTGGCTTTTCACACATGATTCTTCTCTGATCAGTGCACTTTGTATAATAAACACATACCCCATCTATATATCCACAGTACATTGTATATAAGTCATATGTGCTTCCTTCAAACCTGGAAGAAAAAAATGAGCACACTTGGCAAATTGTATTTTGATTATACCCACAGAAGAGAATTTTCAAAAGAACATTATTAATTGTGTGGTCTATTGTCTAAGTTAAATTTCAGTTGATGACTGGGGTACGTATATGTGATGTGAAATAATGTTTTCTCAATTTCCTTTATCTGGAATATTTTCTGTCATTTGAATCCAGACTTAGCATCTCTTCTCATGGCTGATATGACTTAGAATAATGTCAGATCATACGACTCTACCTTAAATTTGCACTATCATTGTCAGGTGCCTTACCTAATGACCAAAGCTAGAACAAACCCAATTTAGAAAATCTCAAGACTACTAATTCTCATGTGATAGTTCCTGCTAGCAATATCTCTGTCAGTCCTTCTAACCAAGTAGCCTACAACATGGGTAAATGATGATAAATGATATTTATAAGTTGAACACATTTTGGTTTCAATAAACATAACATTGATTCTCTTATTGATTAGTAATAGTCACAGAATATTTCATCAGTTAATGCAGGAAGCAGAAGAAGCCTGTAGTGTGGGAAGGCTTCAGTGGGTGTGTTGTTGCCATGAGCCGGCCATGTTAAGGACCATGACCTCAGACCCTCAGACAAAGCCTTCCTCTGGTCTCTGTGCTGATGTTGATTGGATGTGCAGAAAATGTTCACCATAGCATTCTCCCCCTGGATATTTGTGACTTGAAGATTGCTCCCCTTCAGAGGCTGCTCCCACTGAACCAGAACCCATGAATAAAATCTGAGCCTGGTAACACACACTCATAATCCTAGTGTTAGGGAGACACAGACAGATCACTGGGGCTCGCTGCAATACAGACTGTTGGAGAGTTCCAGGACAGTGAGGGATTCTGCCTCAAAGAAACGGAAAGTAAAGAACACCTTAAAAAAAAAAAAAAAAAAACCACCAGAATGTGTCCTCTGGTCTCCACTAGAAGCAGGCATACACATACCAACACATACCCACATACCACATATGCAGCACACACATAAGTGCATCATTCATACATGCACTACACACCCACAAACACACATGCATGCACGCTCAACACAGACTTATACATACAGCCCTGACTAATTTAAAGCTCTCAGTCTTTCATTCACTTTTGAATTCCAGAATATAGCACAATATTAAGTACTTAAAAATGTCTAGTGAATGGTTTTAGCTTCTGCAATCTTCTTAACTAGAAGCAGTAATTTTTTAAAAGAAAAAAAAAGTTTCCATAATTTGGTTACTGTAGGTTGTTGGAAATTTGCCACAATGATGATAGGATATGTGTGGCACCTCTCTCCATAATCGAATGTAGATGTCACAAAAGCCTGATGGGACAGTTACCTTTAAGGAAGTGGTGTCAGCTGAAGGTGCTTTTGACAGCAATCTAACAAGCTCCTGTGGAAATTGTCTCCATTCAACTCTAACCATAAAAATCCAACAAGACCAAAGACTTACTCTTCAGATAGGAACATCTTCTCACTCAGTGTCTCATAGTTTGTATGATCTTTTCTGGGTGACAATGCTAGCCAATAACCCCATAGCTTCTTAGACTTTATAAATTCCTACAGAAACAGAAATGGCCTTTTTAATAAGCAGTTTCTTGTATCTGTACCCTAAATGACAGCTCTGGAGTGGAATTACCATTTTTCAACTTAATTTAAAAGGGTTACCCTGTCCAGCCTTGATGTGAGAATATGTACCTGCTCTTATAGATTGTAGCTTCTTATTCTCTATTTATTTAATGACTCTGGGAGTCCTAGCCTTTTCTGAGGGGAGGTGGACATGGGGTGGCTCTGGGGGAAAGGGGAGATGTAGTAGGAAAGATTGGAGAGAGGGGAGGGAGTGGAAACTGCAGTCAGGATTATATATATATATATATATATATATATATATATATATATATATATATTTCAAATAAAAAGGGATAGATAAGTAATAGATGATAAATCATGATTGATTGATAGATAGATAGATAGATAGATAGATAGATAGATAGATAGACAAACAGATAGTGTTGCTTAAGATGTCTGTGTTCTAGGAGTCAACTTCATGAACAGAAAATCAATGATGCTAAGATCAACAATTAATAAAAGAGGCTTCATGAAGTTGAAAACTTCTTTTTATGGCAAAGAACACCATCAATAGGACAAAATGGGAGCCTACAGAATGGGAAATTATTTTCAGGAACTCTGCTTCTGACATAGGACTAAGTTCCAAAATATATAAAGAACTCAAGAAACTAGATGTCAACTAACTAAATAATCTAATTAAAAATGGGGCATAGATCTAAACATAGAATTTTCAACAGATAAATCCAAAATGGGCAAAAGCACTTGAAGAAATATTCAACAGCCTTAGTCATCAAGGAAATGCAAATCAAAATGACTCTGAGATTCCATTTTCACCTGTCAGAATGGCTAAGGTCAAAAACACTAGTGACAGCTCATGCTGGTGGGGATGTGGAGCAGAATCAGACTCCCCCATTGCTGGTGGGAGTGCAAACTTGTAGAGCTACTTTGAAAATCAATTTGATAGTGTCTCAGAAAAGTGGGAGTAGATTTATCAAGACCCAGCTATACCACTCTTGGGTAAATACCCACAGGATGTTCCACCATACCAGAAGGACACTTGCTCAACTATCTTCATATCAGCTTTATTCATAAGAGCAAGAAATTGGAAACAACCTATATGTGACTCAACCAAACAATGGATAAAGAAAATGGGGTACATTTACACAATGGAGTATTACTATGCTTTTAAAAAATCTAAAATGAAATTTGCAGGCAAATGGATGGAACTAGGACATAGACAGGAGCCTGGCTTCTGGCATGATCACCATTCGAGGGGTTCTATCCAAGCAACTGATGGGAACAGATGCAGAGAGCCACAGTCAAACATTAGGTGTAACTCAGTGAATCCTGAGAAAGAAGGGAGAAAGGATTGTAGGAGCCAAAGGGGTCAAGGACACCACAAGGAAACCCACAGAATCAACAAACCTGGACTCACAGAGGCTCACTGAGACTGGACCAACAATCAAGGAGCCTGCATGGGTTTACCCTGGTCCCTCTGCATATGTTACAATTGTGCAGTTTGGTGTTGTTGTAGGATCCCTAACAGGAAGTGTGGCTGTCTCTGACTCTTTTGCCTGCTCTGGGGACCCTTTTCCTCCTACTGGGTTGCCTCACCCATCCTTAATATAAGGAGAAGTGTCTAGTTTTATGGCAACTTCATAAGCACATTTGGTTTAGATCCCTGGGACTCATGCCCTTTTCTGAGGGTAACTGAGGAGGGTTAGAGGGATGGGCTGGGTGGAGAGGAGGGAGATTTGGGTGTGGGTGTAATATATGAGAGAATATATTAATACTAAAGAGAAGATGTCAGTGTTTCACAGCATATTTCCCTGTCTAGCAGAAAGAAAGCAGGGCCTGCTGTGTAGAGGCAGGAAAGAACTAGACAGAAGCTACAGTGCCCAGAGGCTGATGCAACCACTGAGCTGTGTTACAGCAGGATATCCTGAAACTGTGCAAACAATCAAAACCACCACCAGAGCTGGTCAGAACCATGGCTGACCCTGGTTGTTTCAAACAGTCCTTTATTTCATTGTTATGCTCTGATCAGTCTTGCAAAATCTACAGCTCTCCCTTGTTGGTGATAACACACCCAATCTGCCAGTGTAAGAACAAACAGAAAGGGTAGATCCTGGTTAAATCCTGGTTCATTCCAGAATCTTCTTTCAGTAAGTTCTCACAAGACAATTATTTATTTTAATGTATAAGTGCTTTGTCTTCACACACACCAGAAGAAGGAATCAGATCCCACTGCAGATGGTCCTGAGCCACCATGTGTTTGCTGAGAATTGAACTCAGGACCTCTGGGAGATCAGCCAGTGTTCCTAACTGCTTAGCCATCTCTCCAGCTCAAATTTTGCTTTCTAATAAAACCCTTCAACTTTTTGTATTCTGTGTATGAATTCTTTGATGGGTCCAAGAACTTTGCAACAGTGGGTTGAAGTCTCTGAGATCTCTTCAGCCTTTGCCACTAATGATGAATAAACCTACTGATTCATTGAGTAATATTAATATAGGGTCAATGAAAAGCTTAACAATTTTCTAGTCTAAATATTGGGTTAGCAAATATCCACACTGGGGCAAAGGAAGTGGATAATGATTGCAAACCAGGCTTAACAGTAAAAGACGAAAGCAGCACCATAGTCAGAGAAAAACAATAACTATGGAGGCCAGAGTCCACCCATAATTTTTGGTCAAAGTAGAGTGCGTGTGTGTGTGTGTGTGTGTGTGTGTGTGCGTGTTTGTTTGTGTGTCTGTGTGTGTGTGTCTGTGTGTGTGTGTGTCTGTGTGTGTGTGTGTCTGTGTGTGTGTGTGTGTGGCTTCTGAAGCCAGTTGGGTTTTTTAAAGTAAATAATTGTAAATGATCACTTGAGAAAGGTCAATACGAGAGAATAATCAGTTTTATAGAGAATTCTTTTCTCCTATAAAAGATGACAAGTTTCTTATGGTAGAAAAACTAAGCTCTTAAGGTGATATATGTTTATACCACAATAAATGACTATAATTTAGGATGAGCAGATGACACTAGTAATTCTAGTCCTTGGAAGGCTGAGGCAGGATTGCTGTGAGAGGTTAGCCAGAGAAACTGAGTAAGACTTGTCTCAAAACAAACAAACAAACAAAAAACCCAGAAAATAATAAAAATTGCTATGTGAAAGATCAGAACTATTGACTAATGAATAAAATACAAAGACATTATTTAGACCAGTGGTTCTCAACCTCCCCACTGGGAGTTCAGTGACCTTTTCACAAGCCTTGACTAAGACAATGAGAAAGCTTAGAGATTTACATACAATTCACAACAGTAGCAAATTACAGTTATAAAATAGCAAGAAAAATAATTTTATAGTTGAGTGTCACCACAGCATAAGGAACTGTATTAAAGGGTCACAGCATTAGGAAGGTTGAGGACCACTTACTTAAATATAAAGAAATAAAAAGGAGAATTCACTTTTCATTTGTCCTAATAACTCTGTTAAATATGTATATTTAGCATTTGTTTCCTCTCTATCAACCCAATGTACTTATTTACATATATATCATTCCATCTGAGTTAAGTTGTTGTTTGTCTGTTTGTTTGCCTAGTCAATAAAAGATGTAACAAAATATATAACATAATGACAATAGCGAATATTCCCCATGTGGTTCTTATAGGTGTGGTGAGACTCTCTGTCTTTGGAGAACTATTCAGAAGACATACACAGAAACCTGCTTCTACACTTCCAACTTGGAAATACACAGACCTAAGGATTCTGGGAGTCCCTGGTCTATCCATCAATCTTGCAGGTTCTAAAATTCCACTTAAGCTAAAACCTTGTTTGTTTTAGCTTGACTGTGATTTTCATAAGACAAAACTGCAAGGCCCAGTCCCCTGGACTTGCAAGGAAAACAATTCTGAGTCAAGACACTTCATGTCTTCCCACTACATACCTCTGTAACCCATATTTCATGATGTGAAGTCGATTCTTTTTTGGAGGGAACAGAGACATGGAACCTTACCAGCACATCCTTGTTTTTAACCTTCAGGAGGCTGGCATTCTGAGAAGAGCAGAACATAACACTCTGTTGCCATGTTGCATGCCCACTGACTTCAGAATAACAGCTGTCTTTGTACCATTGTGAACCCTTTGGACATGGTTTACATTTGTGCTCTAGAAGGACAGAGTTTTACAGGCTGGTTTCAACACTCTTGACAATTATCCCTTTATTGTCTGGGTGACTTTGACCAGGTTTACTCTGTTCTTTCTCTTTAGGTCAACAAAGAAAACAACTCCTCTATATCTCTATACATCACCCTAGAAACTTGGCACAAAACTTGAACAAACCAAAAGCACTCAAGTACCTGGCCGGATTCACACATATTGCCCATCACTAGGGACCTCACTTATGACTTTAAAAATTAATCACAGCTAATATGCCGTCTAGTAAAAACCAGGCTTCCACAGCCATATCAGACTGCCTTGCCCACCAGGTGTCTCTCTGGCCTTCAACTCCTGGCATATTCCTCCTGGAGAGGCATCTCAGAAGAATGGGAAACACAGTCTAGCCACAAAAACTACACAGGTGCTTGTAGGCAACACCCACTCCCCTGATTCCATACACCGCCCAGACCTCATTTCTTTGCCAGGGCCTCTCACTCCTTCAGTACTAGCTGAAATTTAGGAGTGAGGTCATTTATAGAGGCTTCCTTCCCTCATCATCGTCTTTTGAGATCTGTACCCAGGACAATGGTGATACACTGCAGATTAGAGAAACTATTTATACTGACTGGCACTTCATTATGGGACTGTCAGAACCCTGTAAGTTGGCAACTTGTAGTTTTTACTACTTTCCATGTTTTTCTCCAACTAGGGAAATATCAATGACTCATTTACAAAACTCATTTAATTTCACATTTAATATAGGCTCTGTGTGAATTCTTAAAGTAATTCTTAAAGGATTCTAAGCCTTAGGTTTTTTTGCTGCCCAGGAAACAGTTTTGAGGGCAATACAGGATTACCTGGATGTTTGTTAACCAGCTCTCGACACAGCTCGGTGGCTATGTTTTGCAGCATGGCAGAAAGGTTCTTGATTTTCTTGGTGTTATTGAGATTCTGCGTCAGCTGTAGGGAAACATTTCTCTGAAGTTCTTCACTGAAGCTTTGTAATTGATTTGATTTTATCATTTCTGTCTCCGAAGTTGCATAAACTCCAGGGGTTTTTTTTTTTTTAAAGACAAAAGAAGAGAAGAAAATGGTAGATGATTTTTAAAATGCTTATAAATTCTAAGTTATCCTATCACCTTTAGAAATTTGATGAAGTTTTTCTTTTTTCAGTAATAACATGTTAAAGTAGTATGAATAGGCTTCTTTAGAGGAGTGATTGGTGAGACCAAGCATATGTCTATTGACCACATTATAACGCCACCCTTGGGGCAGATTATTATAAAGACTTAATTCAAAGAATAAACAGTGGTTCAACAACTCCTGGCATTCTACATCTCCCAATCAGCCAGAAAATAACTATATAAATGCATACATATGTGATATGTAAACATATGCAACACATAACAGACTCACCAGGTTGCATTTATATGTTTATTCACATACCTATGTAACAATAACAGAATTTGAGAGGGAGAAGGCAGGAGAACGAGAGGGATTATTGGGGGGGAGGTGGGGATGAGGCAACTATACTTTAATTAAATGTAAAATATTTTTTAAAAGAATGGGGTGATACATACAGATGCCTCCTATGATCACCATTCCAATGAATCGCAGAAGACACAGAAGACTCAAAATCATGACTGTTTTATGCTGTGAATGGGAAGCAGCAGAAGATCCTGTGAAAAGCAAAAAGCACAGTGTTCTAGAAGCAGCTCACGCCTTAACTTCACCCATCCATCCATCCATCCATTCATTCATCTGTCTATCCATCATCTATCCATCCATCATACATACATACATACATACATACATACATACATACATACATACATTTATCTTCCCCTTATTTCTTTCATCTATGTATTTTTCTAGAAATTCACAGACTTTTTTCAAGAGAAATCAGATAGGAAACCATAACTAAGACACCAGGATTAGCTTCAAATCTTTGATACTATGACTTACCCTGCAGAAGTTTTTGTTCATGAAATGTCTCAAATATCTTACTAATAAGATCAAGGCAATAACTTTAAAAAAATAAGAGACTATGTTTAAAAAAATATAGTTTTTTTTTTAATGAGAAATAAGTCTCATAGGCAAAGACTTAACCCTTAGATTGACAAAAGATGAAAAAAAATTAAAGATAACCTTATAAAATAGAGAGAAGGGGAAATGGGGGCACAATTAGTGTGTGTCCTTGGATACGTTTGTGGAAAGTGTGTTCCTGGAGACAGAAGGAATCTTTCTGAGGAGTTTTTTTTTTGGAATGTGGAGGTTATGCACTTCTGCTTGATTTGGTGGTCCCCTCTAAAACTAAGAACAGGGATGTAGTGCAGTAAAGCAGGCTGTCACTGTCTGTGTCCCACTGTCCCCCATCAGCTAAGCACCTCTCCCAGTCTGGACCTGAATTTCTCATTACAACTTTTCCAATATTTTCTATGGTTTTTTAAGGAAAAACCTTCTCATAGAATGCTTTTATTATTTTATGAACAATGAATCACAAAATAGATCATTTTCCTAAAAAGTTAAAAAAAATTACATGATGAATTATTGTTAAGGCATTACATGATTTAAATTATCACCATGTATGAATATATAAAAAGACTGTTTCAAGAAAATAATTCAAGAATAATCTCATATTTTTTACTCTGCTCTTGATATGTGTTTTATATCAATAGATGATAGCATAACAATGTTGTAAATTCTTACAAAGTGATGTATAAAAAATAAAATTTGATTTCTTAATATTTTGGAAAATTGTTGGTGAAAGTACTAAAAATGTTATAGACCTTAGCTGATTTTTGAAATACAAACACATCGTCTATGTTTTGTTATAATTACTTTCTCATTTATTTATATATTCAGTTATTTAAAAGTTATCATATCTGTGTCATTTAGGTACTAGACACTATTGTGTCTGCTAATAAAACAGAGTAGAAGGTATGTGTGTTTATGCTGTTATTTAGATGTATTTTGAAGTGATAGGAAACAGTGCAAAATGATTGATTGATGGAGAACTGATAGATATATAGATAGACCACAGATATAGATAGATAATAGATGATAGAGATATATGACAGAGATAGAGACGATAGAAGGATAGATGATAGATGGATAGATAGATAGATAGATAGATTTTATATATATATATATATATATATATATATATATATATAGAGAGAGAGAGAGAGAGAGAGAGAGAGAGAGAGAGAGAACAAGAGAAATGGATAGGAATTTGAAACTAAAAGGCATGAGATAACTTAGAAATGCATACTGAGTGACACTAGATCAGGAGACATGGGAAGAGCCCTCCAGTACTCCATCAATGAACATAAGTCAGGACTGTTAGTAATCTGTTAAACTCCACCTCCAGAGTCACCTGGCAACAGCCAGGTATGCTCCGCCCCAGAGTTACCTGGCAACAGGCAGGTAACCCTGCCCACTATAAAAGGGGCTGCTTGGCCCCTCCTCTCTCTCTTGCTCCTCATCCCCGCGGACCTGCAGGTTGTCTCCCCTCCCCCCTTCTCTTCCCCCTCTCTCCACGTGGTCATGGCTGGCCTCTACTCCTCTCTACTCTTCTCTCTCTCTCCTGCTCTCCCACTCTCTTAATAAACCTCCCCTCGTGGAACCATCTTGGCCTGCTGTGATCCATTACAAGCTGTGCTGTAGAAATCCTTTTATTGGTGCTGTGACTCCGATACGAAGACTTCGGGGACCTCAGCTGCTGCAACTGTACAAGATGGACACAATGACAACTCGGACTTCATCTGCTCCTACTAGCCACCTCCGAGTGGGTGAATTAACATCTGCTGCTACAACCCCCATCCCGTGCTGCTGCTGCTGCGAGGCTCGCCAAACTTCCACCATGTGAGCTGAGCTGCTGCGGCTGCCCATGTGGTACTCTGCCACGTGGGCTGGGTACCATTTCCTGATATCAGACTGCACAAACTCACAAACAGACATCGATTAATTGGTAAGGAGTTTCCATTTGGCTTGAGGGACCCTGAACACCGGGGTAGCACCTGGCCAGCGCTTCCTGGACTAAGGGTTTGGCTTTTCATGGCCCCAGTCCATATGGCCTCTAGCTGATCTGCCACTTAGGACATTGGCCCATTGGGTGGTCTTTCCCTCTCGGAAATAGCTCGTAACCCCCTCCTCAGCTCTTGCAGCTCCACAGAAAACTGGTGCCAGGCGAGCTATATCCTGACTGGCTAACTTCTGGTGGGCTAGCCCAGTCGAGGCCCTTATTTGATTGCTTGATGGCCCGATTATTATAAGCAGTGCCTGATTACTTTGTTACTGGCTTATCATTCAAGATGCTGACTGATAGCCTGTAACAACCGTCACCCAATGGACAATACATTGTCTTCGTCCGTACCCACAGACACATACTGCCAGCAGTCTGATAACTGGAAGAATTCCCTATACCCCTTTCCATGTGTTCTGCCTGCTCCCCACACCTCTTTTTATTAAACCAAAATGGGGGAATTACTGTGACTCTAGCAGATGTCTGCAGGTTCCACACACTAGCCTAGAATGGTAAGCTTGCCAGGCGACTCTGGAGATGGATTTTAACAGATTACTAACAAGGACCAGCAGAAAAACAAAACCAGCTGAGCCACAGGAATAGTGAAAACCAGGAGGATGTGTCCTGGAGAATGCAGTGTGAAGGAATTTCCCATGGGCTTTGGTGTGTTGTGGGTGTTGTACTGAGTATGTCATGTGGTGTAATATTTATTGAGAGTATAGCCTCACACATGCTAAACAATGCTCTAGCACTCATCTATATCCCCAAGTCTCTGCTTACTTCTTATGTTGAGACAGGATCTCACTTAACTGACTTTGCGAGTTGACTCTGAACTCACTCCCAGTCCAGGTAGACCTTGAACTTCCCATCCTCCTGGGTAGCTGAGATGAGAGAACCACTCCCTCAGATCTAGCAAAGAAAGCAATCTTAAAAGGGCCTGCTCAGTAGTATAAAGCATAGGGAAACACAGCAGTGAGGCAGAGACATGAGGCAGAAGTACTCAGGGGCTAACAGCACTTGCTGTGCAAGCCTTACAGCCTAAGCTAAATTCCTGGTTGTTCACATGGTACAAGGAGAGAACTGTCTCCTCAAGGTGTCCCCAGACCTCCAAACAAGCACTGTGGCACATCCACACATACACATATCCACACACACACACACACTCATACATGTTCACACATATATGTATACACATACACAGATTAAATTTAACCTAAATTTAAGACATAGAATAGAGATCTGAAAGCTAGGATAAAACAGGGAAACCCCCAGAGAACTAGACTGCAACACGATCTGTGAACAATGGGGAAAGAAACCAGATTAAAATAGATATTCAAAAAAATAAATAAAAAGATGTTCTCCCTTTCTTTGTCTTTCTTCTATACTTCAAGATGTTTACTTTTCAAAACTCTAGCAAGAAGAACATATAAGCCCCTGACCCTATTGAACAAGGTATAATCCTAATCCCATGGCATCAGATGAACACACACACACACACACACACACAAAACCTTTCACGATGAAACACCATCATTTGAAAATAAAATCCCTACTCAGTTACCTAAACTTTATATAGAACAATGTAAAATACAGTGTTTTATTGCAATGACTTAAAGAAATGCCTTATGCCTTAAAGAAAAAAAATCTTTTTAATCACTTTGGTATTTGGGGTTTAAATGAAAGGCCAGATCAAAAATTCATACTGCATATTAAATATTTTTAAATTAAAAATAATATATTCACACTGCATGGATCTGTGGCCACTGCCACAGCCTTACCTCACATCCATGGGTGGAAATCTTACCTTTCCCCTCACATTTGTCAGACTTTTGGATTTCTTCTTTCTTATCTGAATCCTGGAATTTGAGATTTGCATAAACAGTATCTTCAGACATTCATGAATATTCAAAGAAAGCTCCAGAATTGGTCCTTTCTGACAATTCTCAATTTCTCAAAGTTGAGACAGCTGATGGTTAAATAAGTCTACCTAGACTCTCAACCCTCTGTAACTGCAGCTAACCTCACAAGCTAGAATTTCTTTTTGAAAAACCACTAATGCCAGACTCTCAAATATATGCCTATGAGTAACACAGAGTCAGTCAGTGGCCTCAGACAAGAACAGATATGGTTGAAAGGGGAACACGTTCCTTCCTCATGTTTCTTCCTTTTTCTTTACATAAAGTAATTTTAGAAATTGTGTTTGGATAATATTAGCTTCATAGGAGTTATGCAACACACTCCTACCACACAGTGCAGATACAGCACAGGATTAAACTCTCAAGGAGAGAAATAATCAGAATGATTCAGATCTCAAATTCTCCCTGGTGTACCTCAGTGGACTGCCACAGGTACCCTGAGCACAGAATGGTCAAGGTACTCAGAGAAAGACTGACTTAGGACTGAACATTCACAGGGAAGACACACAAAGAGTGTGAGATGAAAGACCATGCTTTCTCTCTGATGCAAAGGTTCTGGTTGAATTAACAGGAGCTTTTCTCCCAGAAGAAACAGGTGGATCTCAGCACTAGGGAAGCAGAAGCAAGGGGATGTCTGTGAGTTTCTGGCTAGCATCCTGTACATTGTGAGATCCAGGACATCTAATACAACATACAAAGGCACCATCTCAATTCAAGTCCCCCAATAAATAGCTAAGTAAATGAATAAAACATTAGATATTACCACTACCACGTGTGTAACTTGTAAATAAATAGGTGAGTCAAAGAAGTAAGACATATCCTGGGTCATGCTGGTACTAGCTTTCTTCCCTTTTTCTTTGGTTTATTGAAGCACCTCATGTGGATTGAGGCTTTGTGGAAAAGGGCAAGGCTGGTTTGGGGTTTCCTGGCCTGCAGAACTCTAAATGGAGCTCTCAAACACAGATTGCTGCTCTAAGCATGCACACTCACAGTGTGGTTCAGTACACCAGGTTCATAAATACTTTTTTGTTGTTCAGGAAAACTACGTGTTTCCATGGTCTGGGGACTATGACTTAAAGCCTGGGGATCTCTTCAGTGAGCAGTGGTGTAGAGTGAAAAATTATAGATACTGGGTATATAGAATCCTTTTTAGACATATAAAATATTCTTTAGGCTTTCTTTATAAGGACATGGAAAATTTTCTGAGAAACTGAGCCATGAAGCAAGTTAGGAATGTGGGAAGACCAGTCACCATTACTGGAACTGGCCTATCTGCAAAGAGAAAGGAAAGAATGCAAGTGAACTAGGTGGAACCAAGCTGAGAATCAAGTTGAGAACCAAGCTGGGAACCGCAGTGACAGGGCAAGGCCGAAGTAACAGGGCAGGACCACATTCTTGAGAAAGATAAGCATACAGAGAGCTTTCACCTGACCCTGACTCATGTAGGTTGGGTTCCTTTGGAATGTTCCACTATTTTTATGTTATACCACCCTAGCAACCCCTCATTCCCCTCCCCATTCCTTGGTTTGTGTTTTTTCCCCTTAAAAATCCTTCTCAAACTGGCTGTCGGGGTCAATTCTGCTCCTGCGTGGGCATACGAATTGACCGGCAGCTAGTTGTCAAGGCCCTAATAAACCTCGCTATTGCTCTGGTACATGGTGTCTCGAGCAGATTACTGGGTGGCCACGACTTTCTGAGACTTGAGTGAGGGTCTCCCCTCTGCGGAGGTCTTCAGTGCTACTTTTTAAATACCTTCTCCTAAAGTTCCTTTGAAATTCTTACTGATACTTTAACACATATAAATAATGTTAAGTAGGTTGGCATTGTTTAGAAAAAACTTTAGGAGAGAATGTTTTTAATTTAATAAAGATTAACTACTTTAACATAGTAAAATAATGTTCAGACAAGCAACACCAGATAGATACAGTGAGTTAGATGTACTTATTTCTGGGCTTATATATGGGTAACAAAATTAATCACAGAAAAGGAGGCCATGCATTTGAGAGGAAGTAATGAACAGAATGGGAGAGTTTGTAAGGAGGGAAAGGATAGGGAGGGGATGATGTCATAATATTCTAATTTTAAAAAGACAACAAGTAGAAGAGGCTTACTACAACCCCTACTAAATAGTAAACAAGAGTCACAAGTACAAATTAACTAGATATTGACAAATCCAAATTGAAGACTAGTGTGCCCTTCCCGCAGCCTTGAGCAGGCCTAAGAGATGAGACCTTCTGTCCATTCCCAGCCTCTCTTTCAGGTGAATCCGGTCGACTGTGGCCAATGGCCCACAACAGAATGGTGCCAGACCTGGAGCCTGAACACGAGAGACCAGCTGAGGAACACTGTCTTAGGTAGAGCTCTACGGAAAATGGAACAAGAAAGGAGAGTATCCCGCACACTTGGTAAGCAGCAAACAATTTTTGATACTAGCGCTAGTTATGGTAAGTCTTTCAAGGCTGTGTTTGCAGGAAGTGTGTCTCAGGGGATGCAGACTAGGTGAATGAGGTATTGACCCGGTGCTTCAGGCGGGAAGAGCAGGGTTAGAAGGAATTGGAAAACTAAGAAAGCAGGGCACTGAGGTGTTACAATAGCTGCCTGCTACATCTCCAAAGAATGAGATGAAAAGTTACATCTTGAATATGAGAGAGAGAGAGAAAGGGTTTTAGAAAAACAGTTGTCCTCTCTCTGAGCTATGTCAGCACAAAGTAATGAAAAGGCTATTTCCAAGCTCATCTAGAAAACAGAAAAAATTCGGGAAATGTCCTGAATTTCTCTGTAGCTCTTAGATGTCCTTCTTTGTTGTCTGTCCTTGGCGCGCCAAAGTCCACGTGTGTCAATTGTTTGTTTTTTGTTTCATTGTCTAAATGTTCTATGTTTCCTGTTCAAAGCACAAAAATGGTTAAAACTGTTTGATCCAACCCTTGGTCTAGTTTAACTTTGTTTTAAAGACAGTCTTAATGTGCACGGATAGGTTGCCTGTAGCTAAGAGTTGAGCTGAGCTGGAAAAGCCTTTTCAGAAATTGATTGTTTGCATAAGCTGATCTTAAAGGGACCAGCAGCATTTTGGATTCTATAAGGAAGCTGAGAGTTGTTTGTCTCAGAAAAATCTCTGTGACAAGGTGTCTTTATCTTGGAAATTGCAGCTAGAAAGAGCAAGAAATTTTGTTCGGTCTAAATATATAAGATGCATAGCCACTTCATTGTTGTTTCTGACTGGTTTTAAAAATATAAATATGTTCTACATGTCTTGGTTATAGACTATTGGCTTAAATTATTGGGTGTGATTAGAAATTTACAACTTTGGTAACAGAAAGTTGGCATAAAGCTAACTCAGGGTTAGAGTCATTCAGAAACCAGATGTATAAAAAATAAGATTTTAAAACAATGTCTCTTCAATGAGATATTAAAAGCTGCTTCATGCATTCATATATAAGAATTGACAGCAAAACCTTGTAACATAAAGGTAATCTATTTGGTGTTGATTTTAGAGAAAATAGGTTGTTTACATTGCTTTTGCTTTTCGTTCTGCTTCTCAAAATTATGGTTATACTCTAAAGTTACAAAAGAAATTTAAAATTTTAATTAAACTGCCAGTATTACATTGGCTACAGTTGGCAGTTCTAATCTTGAGTTTGGGATTTTTTAATTCGCCCATGTTTATAGAAAAGGAGACAGCAGGTAGAGTTAAATAAAAATATTTAAAACAAGTTGTGATACAGTGCTGGCCTGCTAGAAGGATAATCTTTGCACCAGGCCTCTGAAGAGGTTAAGAACATTTACATTTAAATTAAGACAATGCAGATTGGGCTCCTCAGAAGCTTGGGTGAGACATTCCTTTTGTCTTGGTCTTCACTACCAGCCCCTAAAAAGGTGTTTTCCGGAATTTGTTGATTGCCTTGCTTGTTCCTTGTGGGAGAGGCTTCAGCCTCAGGCCCAAAATTCACAACAGTTTATGGGCCAGGAGTTGTTATTATGTTGGAGGAATTAAAATTATGCTTGCTTCCCTCCATGGCATTATAACTACCTGCTGACAAAGGAATTCCTCAACCTGTTTTGGGTCCTTCCTTCCAAATTTATTGAGAGTGATAGAAGACAAGATGGCTTTGATTCCTCTGATGTGTATTAGATCCTATCAGTAGCAAGAGACCTAATCTTAAATTAATAATTAAAGAAAAGGGTTTTGAAAGATTAATAGATACTGGAGCTATTTAACAATTATTAGAGGGCAAATTGCCTTCAGCTTGGCTTTTATCTGATAAGGAGTTGGTTATTCAATTAATCCAAAAGCAAAGTTCAAATTTAAGATTTATGAAACTAATGGGACATTACAGCCTGTCTTGCCTACTTCGGTTGCCATTCTAGTAAATACATATAGAATTATTACAGATTTAAGATTGTTTTTGTTGTTCCTTTACATCCTGGTAAACGTGGTGAGGTTTAAATTCAACGAATTTACTTGTGATTTTTGAGAGCCCATGAAGCGATACCATTTAAAAGGTTGCCTCAAAGAATGATTAATACTCTTATATAAGAATTTGTTGCTTTAATACAAAAGTTAAGCATTTAAATCTCTCAGTGTATATTATTCATTGTATATTTTGTTAGCTAATCTCTCTAAAGGAGTTTTTCTGTACGCCTTTGATCTAATACAATGAGCTTTAAAATTTTAGATTGCTTGTCGTTCCAGAAAAGATTCAAAGGCAATATCTTTTCAGTATTTGGGAATTCAGTTATATCTTAAACAGATTGTGGCACAGAAAATTCCAATAAGAATGGATAATTGGGACTAGAGAGATGGCTCAGCCGTTAAAGGCTAGGCTTACAACTAAAAATATTAGAGTTCAAGTCCCAGCAACCACATGGTGGCTCACAACCATGTGTAGTGGGATCTAGTGCCCTCTTCTGGCTTGCAGGCATACATACAAAACATGGTTTACTTTTAATGATTCTCAAAAGTTGTTAACAGATATTAATTGGCTAAAACCTCATCTTAAGCTTACCATAGAAGAACTTGAACCTCTGTTTGATGTTTTCAAGGGGGATACAAATCCTAATTCCCCTCGACAGTTAACTGATGAGGGATAGATAGCTTTGTAAAAGTATAGAGTAAGCTGTTAGTTATCAAA